AAGAAAAAAAAAAAAAAAAAAAAGGAGTCAAGTCTTATTAATTACCAAATCAATAATCATGTTTAATTAAGAATAAAAACAAACTAACCAACTCACGTACAAATAATGAGGGTAATCAGTGCCATAATCCATAATAAATAGCAAAAAATGATAGAAAATAATAAAAACTTTAACAAATTTTTTAAGTCATAGCAAATGAGAATCATAATTTATAGCAACTCAACAATAAATTAAAAGTTTAGAATTCATATATCATATAAAAAAATAATAGTTGGAACCAAAAAAATGCTCATGACAGTTTAATAACCCCTATCACCCTCTTCAACTTCTGATTCTTTTCCTTTAGACAAATCATCGTCAAACTAGTCCTTTTGGACTCTATGACTATATTTAAAATTTCAAAAATTTACCTATGAAATATGATGAAAATATTTGCACATGAAAAAATGTAAGAGAGAAAATCTAGAATTTGCAATGGATGAATGTAATAAAGAAATTCTTCAAGTAACAAAAAACAAAGATTGGAGTTGATGTTCTTAAATTATTTTACCTAAAGAACATATTTAAAGTGTGAATGGATGAATGAATGATGATGGAAGAGATTTAGACCAAGTTTGGTGAAGCTATAAGAGTTTTTACTTTTTTTTTGTACTGTTTATGAGTGATAAGTTTAAATTTTTATTGGAAGGAAAATTTAAAAGTTGGTTTTAGAAATAGGAAAAAGTGAATAAGAAGTGAGTAAAAAGGAAGTTTATAAAATGCACAAATTTGAAATTTTTCAAAATTTACTGTTTAAGATCTTTTTAAGGTTAAGATCTTTTTAAGGTTAAAAAGAAGTTAAAAATCTAAGTTTTTACGAGAGAAATTTAAACTTATGAAACATGAATAGTGTTAAAAAGCTAAAGCTCTTATAAGCTAAAGCTCTTACAAGCTTCACCAAACCTGCTCTTAACTAGATTTGTGGTTGCTAAAAGGTTAGATGATCAATTTTAACAAATTATATCTACATTGCATAGACAAGAATAGAGTGATTGATGATTGAACTAATCTAATCTACATAATATCCATGATAGTAGATTGATGGTGGCTAAAGTCTAGAAAGTTAAAAGATCGATGTCAAGATGAATAA